AATTCAAGGGGTAGACAGTTATATCGTTCCAAGAGGCTGTTAACAACAAAAACTGATTTGCGAGAAACTAGAAGTATGTGCAGTTATAAAAAGGTCTACAAGAGATCGAGGGACAGGAAACATTGGTTTGGGAATATCCTGAATTTCATGTCTGAATCAGAGGAAGTCACAGTTTGTCAGGTAGGGAATCAAGTGGATTTTAACGCTAAAACAGATTTGTTTATCTGCAGACTTGATTGTCAATGGGAACAAGGATTCTATTGACAGAGGTTCAATGAACGGGAATGAGGATAGGGAGATTGAAGGATGGTTTTCAGAAGGAGACTACTCAAGTTTCAAATCTGGTTTGTTGATCAGAAGAGCCAAAAGAACTTTGTTAAGGGAAGCAGTTGAACATGTGAGCATTGCTACAACCTCCACTCCAGCCTTCTCAGATTTATTGGAGGAAGCTTTAGCTACATGAGAGGTTAGGAAGCTTTTGGGATGTCTTTCAAGGAAGGGAAAGAAGCATTTTTGGAAAAATTTTGATTTTAGATAAAGGCTCGAATGGAGTTATTCAAGGTGATGTTGAAGGAGGGGATGTTTTGTTTCCGAACTTACAATGATGAAGACAAAGTTAATCATTTGCTCATGAAATGTTAGGGGTTTGGGTAAAAAAGAAAAACAGAGGGTTGTTCAGAATTTAACTTCTCAAATCCAGCCTACTTTTCTGTGGTTGCAAGAAACTAAGACAAAAAAGATTCAAAGGTATTTTTTTTGAAGGAGTGGGTTAAACAACCTTAGAGGTGTTATTGAATCTCCTTCGATCGGATCCTCAGGGGGTTTATTATGTTGTTGGGATGATAATATTTTTGAGTTGGAAAATCAACATGTTAGCAGGAGATTTATAGTTGTTCTGGGTACAAATTTCGAGCTAACAATTTCAACTGTGGCTTCATCAATGTCTATGGCCCATCAATGAAGGAAGAGAAAGCAAGTATTTTTGAAGAATTAAGTCTATACTTAAGTGGTTAGAACTATCCTGTTTGTGTAGAAGGGGATTTCAATGCTTACTTGTATGAAGAAGAGAAGATTGGCAGAGGGCAAAACAGAAATTCAATGGATATTTTCAGTCAGTTTATTCTTCAATCTGGTCTTATTGATCTTCCTTTGATTGGGGCAGGTTTACTTGGTGTAATAACCAAGATAATCCCACCTTTGTAAGATTGAACCAGTTTGTAGTTGATACTCAATTTTTGGCTACATTTCCTGACATCATTCAGTCACTTCTCCCAAGGTTTGTGTCAGATCACAATGCTATAACTCTTGAGAATAAGGGTATAGATTGGGGTAAAAACCTTTCAGATTATTTAATTACTTGATGGAGGAGGAAGATTTTGAGGATTTGGTTAAGTCTGCTATTCAAAACAGCAAGAAAAATCAAAGGAAAGCGGGTGTTTTTAATCTTCTGAAGAATACCAAATGTGCAATCAAAAAATGGGCTGGGAGGAGAGATCAGTATCCAGGAGCTTTGATTTCAGAATTAGAGAAGAAAATTCATAAGTTAAGAGGTCGACGTACAGCAACAGCAAGGTGTCATTGACAGTGAAGTACTAGAAGAATTGGACACTCATAGAGCAGAATTGTGGAGACCTTATAGAATTCAGGAGCAGATTTATTTCCAGTATTCCAGATCGAGATGGATAAAAGATGGTGATCGTAATACCAATTATTTCCATACTTGTGCTACAGTGAGAAAAAAGAGGAATGCATTGCATGCACTGAACATTAGGGGGAACATTATTCAATACCCGAATGAAATAAATGCCACTGTGAGATTACTTCTTTAAAATTTTCAATGAACGATCCACATTGGAAACTCAAGACATAAGGCTGGATTTTTCCAGAATTTCTTTCAAACAAAGTCAGTTGCTAGAGAAAGAATTTGGGTTTTTTTAAAAGGTTTTGGCATGTTCTTAAAGAAGATATTATGAAATTCTTTCATAATTTCTATTTGGGGAAAGAATGGGAACATTGTATAAACCATACATTTATCACTCTCATTCCAAAGAATTCAAATATTGGTGGCCTAGAAGATTATAGACCCATAAGCTTAGTAGGTGGGCTATATAAGATCTTGTCTAAGTGCCTATCAAGGAGGTTAAGGAGCTGCATTTCAGACATTATCAGTCCTTCTCAATTTGCTTTCATCCCCGGTTAACAAATTTTGGACTGTTCTTTAATTGCTAATGAGGGGATCGACTTTTGGAGGAAGAATGGGTTAAAGGGTTGTGTTTTTAAAGTTGATTTTAAGAAGGCATATGGCACAATAGACTGCCCTATTTTATTCAAAGTAATAGGGAAAATGGGCTTTGGTTCTAGATGGAGTGGTTGGATCTCGAAATGTGTTACAACAGCTTCTGTATCAGCCTTGGTCAATGGGGTTCCTTCAGACGAATTCCCAATGGCAAAGGGTCTTCGACAAGGTTGTTCCTTGTCTCCTTTGTTACTCAACATAGTGGGGGTTCTTAATTTAATGATCCTTAAAGCTGCTTCAGAGGGTTTATTTTCGGGTATGGTTATTAGCAGGGAGGAGGGGATTTTCAATTTATCTCACCTACAATTTGCTGATGACCTTATAATTTTTTGTGGTGCATCGAAGCAACAGATTATGAATGTTAAGAGGGTGCTTCAAGTGTTCGAAATTATGTCTGGTCTTTAGTTGAATTTAAAGAAGTGTAAACTATTTGGGGTCAATTCGAATGAAGATGAAGTAAGAGAATGGGCAAAGGTTGTTGGATGTTCAATTGGTAGCTTTCCTTCAGAGTACTTAGGACTTCCTCTTGGAGCACAAAGAAATTCTGCTATTTTGTGGGATCCAGTGGTTCACAGTTTCAACAAGAAGTTGGCGGGTTGAAAGGCATCCTCGCTTTCTATGGCAGGGAGGTTAGTATTAATAAAATCAGTCTTATGCTCGCTTCCTACATATTTTTTGTCATTGTTCAAGGTTCCGGCTTCGGTCTACAAGTCCCTAAACTCAATCACGTCCAATTTTTATGAGGCGGAGGAAACGGTAAAAATAAGATTCATTGGGTGGGCTGGTCCACTGTGTGCAAACCAAAGTTAAAAGGTGGGTTGGGGGTTCCGAATATCAACATGGTAAATAGAGCTCTTTTAGAGAAATAGTCTTGGAGGTTTGCAAATGAGAGGAATATGGTTTGGAGGAAGTTTATTTGTAGTTTTGTACTACATACAATATAGACTCTTCATTATTGTTGTTTGACAGTAAGGTTACTACAAAAATTTCTTGGATATGGAGATCTTTGGTGAACAACCATTTCAGAGAAGACTCTATTGGCTGTAAAATTAGAAGCTACTATAGTTTTCATGTTGGTGATGGGAGTATCATTCGGTTTTGGCAAGATGTTTGGGCTTTGGATCAACCATTATTGGTCATTTTTCCAAGTTTATTCTCCATTTCATTAAATAGGACTGGAAAATTATCCGAGTTTGGTGAATATAGCTCTAGGGGTTGGTTTTGGGATGTTCAATTGAGAAGGGAATTGAATGATTGGGAATATGAGCAGTGGTCTAATTTGATGGCAATCATTTCAAACTTTTCTCTTTCAGTTGATTCCTCTGATGGGTTGGTTTGGAAGGGCATTGGAAATAGGGTATTTTTTGTCAAATCTTGTGTTACTCATTGTTATTCAGGGACTTCAGGTTCGGAGGAGGTTCATTTCTAGAAGAATGTAATTTGGAGGGGATTGATGCCTCCAAGAGTGGAGACATTTGTGTGGCAAGTGATTCTACAGAAGCTGGCAGTGAAGACAGTTCTGGTTAAAAGAGGTGTGAAGGGTATCGATTACTTGTTATGTCCTTTTTGCAAGCAGTTTGATGAATCCCCTCACATTTATTTTTTACTTGTTCGGTGGCTTGGTCTATATGGAATAAATTCTTGAGGTTCTGGAAGATTCAGTCAGTTTTTCATGTTGATGCAAAAAGATTTCTCCTTGCATGGGCTGATTTGAGGACTAACTCACTCATATGGTCATTTATTCCAGGAGTCGTCCTATGGACCATTTGGAAACTAAGGAATTCTATTGTGTTTGAAGGAGGAAAGCTAGATCAAGCTGAACTTTTCTTTTTAGCTAGGTTCAGGCTTGCTTCATGGTATTTAGCAAAGTATAAACAGGTTTTGATCTCCAAGGATTCTCTTATTTCTGATCCTTCCTTAGGGGATTCTTGTTTTCCTTTCTCTAACCCGATTATAACTATTATTTCTTGGTCTCCTCCTCCAAAGGGCTTCATCAAATTAAATGTCGATGCAGCCACTACTAGTGATTGGAAGAGAAGTGGTTTAGGTGGTGTTTTAAAAGATGACTCGGGGTTAATCCTAGGATCTTTTAAGGAGTCTGCTGGTCCGAGACCTCCTACTTTCATGGAATTGAAAGCTATCCTAAAGGGCCTACTTTCTTTCACTCTATTCGACACAGGTTCAAGGATCGCTTAATCATTGAGAGTGACTGCAGGGTGGCAGTTGACTGGGTTAAGGATATTGTTTCATGTCCCGACGTTTATGCTTACATGGTTAGAGATATTATTGAAAAGCTTAGAGTTTGTGAAGGTGTTATTAGATGGGTTAATAGGACAGCTAATCTAGAGGCAGATGCCCTAGCTAAGGCTGGAATTGGTTGATTTTTATGTTGTTTTTAAGGGATGTAATTAGTTTGGTTGTCTATCTCCTTAAGGGAGCTATAGGGTGTTGTATTCCTATGTTCTAATCATTTTATTAATGAAATCCTAAGGCAGTCTTTTCCTCCTTCCGCTGATTAAGGAACTGTTTTCAAGTTCCATTAATCATGAAGGGGGTTTTTAACGAGGCCGACTATTCTTATAAAAAAAATCCAAAACTCTAAAATACAACAATAGCAAGCAAATTATCATTTGAGTTTCATGAACTCACTGAAATAAAATAAAAAGCTTGTTGATTGACCACCCAACTAATAATATATCAGTACCTTTGCCTTTTAGAACACATTCCACAAGTCTCAGTGTAATCTTTTCTTTTGCAACCAGATGACAATGAAGTTCCATCCCCGGTGTAGGTGCCAATTTCATGACTTGACAATTTTGGAGAAGCAACGGAATCAATGTCTATATCATGACCTTTCCTTTCGGAAGGCATGACTTCTAGAATCGTCTCCACACTGATATCGCAATCAAGGAACTCTCCAGGCACGATGGAGTTTACCAACTGTGGACTTTGTAGATTTTTAATCGAGGTTGTTTCAGTAGCATCATTCGTTTCTCCTGATACCAAAACATTCTGGGACAATTGTGGATCACCCCCATTAGAAGACATATTATTGCAGCTGTTCTTTTGGCTAGTAGGAAACAATTTATGCTCATCTTTTCTTTTAGGCTCTTCCTCAGCAAATCGACTTGTATTTGTCACCGTAGTCCTTTCATGGGTTCTCTCGGTGAAATCTACTAAAATTTCCTCCTCCCTCCTTCCACTATCAGCTCCATTCAGATATTTGGAACAATCTACAGAACAAGCACAACTGTCTAAGAGTGATACATTTAATCAAACAAAAACCTACAGAAAAAAATAAAGAATAAATATCTTAAATCAACATCCAAGCTACAGTAGATAATTTCATTTACAGATTATACAAGCAAATCAAAAACAGCATAACACATGGTACCATCTTTATTACTCCGTACAACAAGAAGAATGATAAAAAAGAAGGTTGTACCTGTTCCATCAACTTTCTTGGGTTGTTTTATGAACAATGCTTTATACGAGCGAGCAGTCATTCTCTTCTTCTGGGTTTCTTCAGCTTGCTCACCTTCTTGCTCGACTTTTTTAATTTCTACAGTTTGCATTGTCGATTGTTTGACACACTTGTTTTTTTTCTCTTTCTTCCTTTTCGTTTTCAACACATTCAAGCTCTTATCAGATCTCTTTGATCCTGAAGAAGCAGATGAGGATATCTTACCCCTCTCAGATCTCCTCAAAGGACTAGCATTCTTCATGCCTTTTTTCTTCTCAACTCGCTCAGATTTCCTCTTAGCCGGAGTCATTGAATTCAAATTTGAAGTCTGCTTCTCAAGACGCTCTGACTTCCGCATACCAGAAGAACTTGGCGGAGTCATGTTTTTCTTAGATAGGGTTTCCCTAGGTGACCTCCTAACACCAGATGTTTCTGCTGTAGCAGCACCCAGATTTACCGACTTTTTACCAATATTTTGACTTCCTTTTAAATCATTATTTTCATCATCCTTAGCTTTCCTACTAGAGGATCTAGTACCATTAGCCATACCTTCAATGCAAATAAAAAGATCTTAAAACTACAGTGCATAGAGAATGAAGCAGAAATTCACAATTATTTCACAACAAAAGGCCATTGTTCACAACATTAACTTGATAGTTGATCATATTACTATAAAATATGTGTCTATAACATATGCATAAACTCAGCCGAATATGAAAGCAAATCATATATAAAGAGAAAAAAATGAATGTTACTAGTAGTATCATGGGAATCAGAACAATAACATGGCATTGAACCCTATAAAAAGTAAAACCTAACTCAAGACACCGATATAGTCGATAACAAAAATTACCATCAATTTTACACAAATTTAGTAATTTCAATCCAATCGCAAGCTGTTCAAACTAAAAACACTGACAAACATGTCCGATTTTTATTATTTTTTTCGCACGATTGTGATTTTCCATAATAGAGAATTACGAACTTACCTGTATGTAAATCTAGTGGGAAGAAAGTTTCCTCGAGATTTTTTCCCTTTTCCGTTTAATGTTTGGATAGGATTTGTAATTGACTAAAACAGTAATATAAAGAAATAAGGAAGAAAAACAAATTTAAGCAGTAAGGGTTAGAAAAAGAATCGATAGAAATAGTAGAGAGATTAAAGAGAAAGGGGGAAATCCTAAACAGTTATTCATTCATTCAGTTGTTTTATATCCTACCTCAGTAGGGATTTTGGTCAATTCAACTCAAAATTGTTGTTCCATTCGTCTAAACTCGACCCACCCGACTCTAGAGATATCTTACGTGACTTAAAATTCAATTCAAAATTTGAGATAAAAATGAATATTTAATTTAATATAATTCCATATAAATATATATAATATTATTTTTTTATGATAAAATAAGAATTAATTAAAAATATATATTATACAAGGGATATTATAGTAATTATTGTTACATATATAGAAAAAATTATATTTATTATTTTGAGTTAGGTCAAGTTAAAATCATTTACTTTAAACCTGACACGATCCCATCATTTATAAAATTCAACTTGACTTAAATCAGTTTTTTAAAATTTGAAAAATATCTACCATATTAAATTAACTCAAAACTTATTAAATTAAAATCAAATTATAACTTTTATTTTTAACTCAATTTATTATCTATAGAAAAAAAGAATAGAAAACTAAACATTTCATCTATTCAAATCCTCGATATTGTCGAAACGATTTTTCTTAAAAGGTGAGATTTAAAAACCACATTAATTCTTAATTATCCTCTTTTTAATTTAAAAACAAAATGCGATTTAAAAGACCTCTCGTTTCGAAAAATTTTGGATTTCTTTTACGATCAAAAAATACGGTTCGAAGAGTCACCACCAATCTTTAATTAGGGTGTGATTAGGCACCCAAAAAAACTGTCATTTTAAATAAAAATTAATTTTAATTAAAACAACAAATTGAGGTTTGTGTTACCAAAAAATGAGTTCGGGAGTCGGTTACGTGTGGGAAAGGATTAGCACCCCCACAACGCCCTAAATCGGTACCTAGTCGATTAATTAACGTCTTTGCAATGAACTTTAAAAATTTGAACTTAATTTGGCTTTTGATCCCATAAAAAAAGATATAAATTTTAAAAAACATTCAAAAGCACTCAAATAAATTAAATTAAAATAACCAAGTCGTTTTAGAAAGATAAAGAATGTTCGATTATTTACAAATATCGAGACCAGATCTTAAAAGCTATAACAACCTTTTCTCGATAAATTTAAATAAACGAATATTTCCTTTTCTTTCGTTCCCAAATTTTAGGTGACGAATCAATTTTTTTGATTTCATTTTCGGGATACACTTTTAATTTAAAATCGTCAAAACGGCCCTCTAATCAGTTAAGACAAGCCACTCAGGACAATTTTAAATTAAAAGTGTATTACCCTTAATCCAATTATGTAATATGTCGAGTTATGCACATGAGGTTACCATGCGAATCGTGGAAAAAGGATGTCATGCCAAAATCAATTAAATAAAATTAAAAATATCATACAACGTGACATACAAAAAAAAATTAAATACATATAATTTAATTAAAAATTATAAACTATGCATATTAACATATAATGTATAAGTGTGACTTAAATACAAAAATAAAAACCAAGCATATCAAACTACGAAAAAAATTGTACTTATTAAAATATAGACTACATAATATTGAATAGAAACTTTAACACCATAATAACAAACAAGATAATAAATGGTGTGGAAATGAACACATTATACCATACAAGATTTTTAAACTAAAATAATAATAATAAAAAAACCCTCATTTTTACAAAGGACTGAAATCAGAATAAATCCTAAATATACATGGGATTAAAAGGAAACATGCAAAAATCTATAATTCAAATGTTTAAACAACAACAATTAAAGAAATTACTAATCCGGACTAAAATTAAATGAAGTGGAAATTAAACATATATATCAATAATTAGAACAAGGATTAAAATAAAAATGAGCTTAACTAGTAAGGGTACCAAAAAGAATTTATCCAAAAGAATAACAAACAACACTGAAAATAATGACTTTAGGACAAATAAAAGGTAAAATTCGAATATAGATTTTACAAGTGACTGAAATACAAACACGCTAAAATATGAAGACTAAAACCTAATTTTATCTTTGTATTTGGTGACCAAGAAATAATTAACCCAAAATTACTAAGATATATATTAAACTAAACCTAATATTAAACTAATCCTAATCTACTTCACGCAGGAAACCCCTCCTGCCACTCAACTTCACTCTCCACTCTCCATTTCAACTTTCCTTTTCTTCTCGATGGAAACAGGGGCCAAAATCCATGGCCACCCACCTTCAACCGAGACGCCATTATCGCCGTTCTATTTTTCTCCAGTCTCTCTCTGGATCGCTATTCTATTTTTTTAATTTCTCAAGACCTAACCTCTACTCTTACAAATGATGGATATGCTCAAAGAACTCACCAATTGGCTCCAAAAGGTAAACACTAAACATTCTAATTTACCTCTATTTTTCATTTTAAAATTCCGAAAGATGGGAACTAATACAAATAATCTACATGCAAGGCTCTCCGAATAATTATCAATGCTTCAGTATTAATCCCGGTGACTCAAATCGATAAGCTTCTAACTCTTATTTTCTTTCAAAACAAATACAAAACACACACAAATAGTTGCTAGAAAGTAAATAAAATAAGATAAAATACCTCCTTGTTAATGCTATCCGTTTCTGGTTGTTGAAAATATTATTGCCCTTTTGTGAATGATTAATGCTTTCCTTCGAATGGAACCATGAAATCGAAAAAAAAAAATTGTTTCCTTTTATTGTTTCCAGAATGCTAAACCAGAAAAAATTTACAAACAAAATCTTCTTTTTCTTTTCTGTTCTATGTGTTTTTTCTCGTTTTTACTCTGTACTCTCATTTTCTCTATGTCCCCATCCTCCTTTCTTTAGAACTGCCCACCCTCCAATTTTATATCCCCCTCTATCCCATGAAAACTGAAAACCCCCCCTTTTTGTTAACTCCCGATAACCATTTTTTTTTGTTTTCCAGGAAGTATTCATATGGGCTGGAAATTGTTCTACAGGATCACTTGGCTTGAGTTGGGCCTTCAACTGGTCTGCTTCGGGTCTACCCCGACATAACCCCGGACAAATCGAGTATCTACAGCTGCCCCTCTTTGCTCATTATCGTGTAACGAGAATATAGCAAAGATCAAAAGATAATTGAGTTTGTCCGGTCTTGAGAACTTTAAAAGATTACAACACTCCATTGTTACTTCGAGATAAATGAAACTTGAAAATTCTTCAAATGACGGGTCCGCTCCCTCCTGTTAAGGGATTAAGGAACTCGAACAATCTTCTAAAAATGGGTTCGTTCCCTATTTCTTCAGGGAGTAGAACTCGAATAATCTTCTGCTTACGGGTTCGCTCCCTCTTGCTTCAGGGGGTAGAACTCGAACAATCTTCTGCCCACGGGTTCACTCCCTCTTGCTTCAGGGAATAGAACTCGAACAATCTTCTGGTGTGATTCTGCTTCACTATTCTTCCATGAATGCTCAACTTTGAAGGTTAATCTAGATATGAGAATCTTTTTGGACTCGGCTACCATCTAAACCTCTCTCTTCCTGGGACCTTGAATCGGTTAATTCGTGCGCATTTTCTTTTAATCAATTGTTCCGTTTCTTTGTACTTGAGAACATTCTCTTTCCTCCCACATCTGATGATCTGATGGTTGGCTCCAATGCTCTTCCGAGAATGCTTAAAATGGCCCGGAGGACTTATCATCTTGGTGTGAAAATATCCTACCCGAAGGTCTTATGGATGACCCGAAGGATTTATCATCATGCTCGAAAGACTTACTGATTATGAAATTTTGAAAATCACATTCTTCGTTTTCAAAAATTTCATCTTCTTAAAACATAAGTTTCATTTTCAAATTCATGTAAAAACATCCTACCCGAAGGTTTTATGGATGGCCCGAAGGACTTATCATCTTGCTCTAAAGGCTTACAGATGACCCGAAGGATTTAAGCATCATGCTCGAAAGACTTACTGATGGCCCGAAGGACTTATAAATTGTGAAATTTTGAAAATCACATTCTTTGTTTTCAAAAATTTCATCTTCTCAAAACATCATTCTTTTCATTTTCAAATTCATGTAAAAACATCCTACCCGAAGGTTTTATGGATGGCCCGAAGGACTTATCATCTTGCTCTAAAGGCTTACAGATGGATTTGCTTCACTACTCTTCCGTGAAGGCTTAAGATGGTGCTTCACTACTCTTTGGTGAAGGCTTACAAAATGGATTTGCTTTACTACTCTTTGGTGAAGACTTGACTTTGCCCCAATCTCCTGTGTACAAGTCACTTTAATCGAGTGACTCCTCTCTTCATACATGAACATCTATGTTTTTCTTCTATATCTGATGGTCATGACTTCAGAGTAATGCCTCTTCTGTGGATTAGACCTCTCAATTCTTCAGGGCATGCCTCTCTAAATGTAACTCCTTGCGTTTGAGGTTGGAAATTTTCCCTTCAAACTTGTCGGGCTTTTGACATCATGAATCTTCTCTTTTCACGGGAAGATCTGTCAAAATCATGTATTTATGCATGAAACACTAATGCAATTAAATGTATCAGTGTAATTCATTTTCTTTTATGCAAATGATGTTTTCATGAATGCATAAATGTTGAATCAATTTTCACTTGGCTCCAGAGTGGTGAGCTTGATCTTCTTCTATTTGATCATTCTTTCAAGGTTCTACTTCATATGCTCGTGTAGCAACTCACGGTTTCCAACTTGCATCTTTGACAAGCCCTCTGATCTTCTTCTTGTCATCTTTGTTTTCTTTCTTTATTTCGGAGAAAGTGTTTTCTCTCTCAACATCTTGCTATAGTAAGAAATACGACTGTGTTGCCCCATTTCCGTCCTTGGCTCAATTATACATTCAGAGTTGTTCTTCCAGGACTCTGCCATTGATCAATGCTCAGTTGATTTGCTTTACAAGGTAAGCTCTGCTCAAATTCACGGTCTGCCCCTAACACTTCAAGTTGTGAGGCTCATTCTCAATATCTTCTTGATCTGAATCTTGTCATCCCAACATGATATGGGTTTCTGGTCATGCCCCAAAGTGGGTACTCTTGGATCTCTTTGTGCCCAACATATCATAACTTGAATGTTCTCATTCTCGTGTCACTACATAGTAGTGTTGTCAAGTAATTTGAAGGCGTCTCTTCACATTGTCATAAACACTTAAGTGCCTAATTTTTCTAACAAAATGTCTTGCATTTTATACAAGTTGTAATATGTGCCCCTTCTGAATAATGAGATCATCTTATTCTTGATGGGTAATTGACAACGTCACAAGGAAATTTTATAAGTTTCATTCTTCATTCATTATGTTCTCTTGGACCATCTACTTCAAGATCGTGGAATACTTCATGTTCTGGCATTGCTTATTCCTTTTCTCCAATAGAGGCATAATGAGTCTCACAAGCTTCAAGGACCTTTCACACTTGAAACTGTCCTGTTTGAAAATGTTTTTCCCTTTTCTCTTATTATAGGGATCAAAGAATGAAAGAATTTTATAAAATATTGCCCCTTAATTCAGGCTCACAATCAAATCAAATCATAAACATGAGTTCAAAAAATATCAAAAGAATTAATAACTATTTAATTTTTCAGAGTTATAACTCTTTGACAAATGTCAAAATTGATGGGTTGGCTTCAGTTGGCTTCCTATTTTTTAAGGTTTCAGCCAACAAACTTATATTTCTTTCTCGGTCTTCGTGAACATCACAACATGCCCCTTCTTCTGGCTTGGTATTTTAATCGGATACGGACAAAATGATGCAACTTGCATAATCAATTACTAGACTTTATAGAACACTTCTATTTCAGTTCTCTGAAATCTTCCATTTGTTCAAGCCTCGTAGACTCCTCTAACAAAGGCAGTGCAGAAATATCGATCTAAAAATGAAATTCCTGAGTGCTCGTGTGAAGTTGACTATAACAGGTTTTCCTTAACTCCCTTAGTCAATCTTTACCGAAACTCCTTATTTAGAAAAACTTGATTTAATTTGCCATTGTCTGGCTAACTGAAATCAGCTTTATTGTAATTTGCCTCTATCGGGCTAGCAGAAGGGTTCGTCTCATCACAAAGTCTTTGACTTGACAATCACAGTGGAGCATACACCAAATTGCCAGATACCCGATCAAGGTCATGGTTTGAATATAATCTATTCATAAAGCCAGGGCTTTCGAGTTTCCTCTATAACCAATTGCTTTAGCGGAATAGCTCAGCTTTATTGTATATATATAATACCATCACCTTTATTAGGCTAGCTAAATTATGTCCATAAAGCCGGGGCGTTTAACCAATTGCTCTAGAGGGACAGCTCAAGCTTTATTGTATACATATAATATTATAATTTGGGTATACGGGTCCAATTTCTTAAGCTTGTCAAGAAGAACCTGTCATAGTCTAGGTGTTGTTGAAAGTCAGAAAATCTCATCGTTAGAGTTCAATTTCCAAGCAACTGACCCAAACTAGATTTACCTACTCGACTATTCCATCTGTAAAGATCATAATCATCCTTGAACAACATCAACAAAAGTGAAATCTAGTTGGTTTTGTAACATCATACACAAAAGATGCCCCATGTTGTCCGCTCCTATACATACCTGAATACCAAACCTATTGTTCATCTCCTTATGATAGAAGAAGGCTATATCGGTCCCTGCAATAGAAGGGTATGGTGTTCGATTATATCTTCTGGAGATAAGGTAAAGGTCTTTGTTTTATCAGGTTTCAACCTTGTCATCTTGTCAAAGATTTATAACTCTAATCATTTACAGAGTTTTTAATTCAGTAGGTATTCAAAGAATATCAAGTTACAAATTCGATTCAATTCTCACCATCCTCAAAGTAACATGAATTTATTTAAACATCATTATAAAAAAAACCTGAGAAAGGATGAAAAACTAGTTCAAACATGATGTTGCAAATGAAATAAAGCTCCATAATGAATAAAATGATCTCTTCCTAATTAGGATGCCCCATTACCCATCTAATGTCGTGGTACTTAACTCAAACGGAAGTTATATATTGTTCTTTGATGCCCTACTCAAGCTCATCATCCACTGTTCCACCAATTCCTCTGTTAACGTCCCAGTTGCCACAAGCATCTCTATCTCCTTTAACAACGGCCTACAATTTCCCGTAGAATGTCCCAATGCCCCCCAAGTGGAAATCACAAACACTATCTTGATCATAGCTATGAGCAGAAGGGTCTGGTTGCACTTTCACTGGCCTCGGTGTGAGGTATTGACCTTCAATCAAATAGGGATACAGATCTGAGATAGGAGTTTGGAACACTTTCAAAGCATTTTTCGATCTTGGGACTTTCTTTGGACGCCTCGAGTAACCCACTACCCCTTTTCTTTTACGACTTTGAGAGCTCTGGACGTGACATTCATTCACCTCATCAGCTTGTTCCTTTTGATCGGTTGGGTTTTTAGAAGTGTTTTTCAAATTTCCTTTGCTGATTGCATCCTCAATTAACTCTCCAGCTGTCATAAGATCCTTGAAGTTATTCGTCGACTTTCCCAACATTAACTCAAAGAAATGAGCTGGAAGAGAATCGTGAAACATATATGATATTTCTTCTTCTACAAAGGAGGTTGAACTTGTGCTGCCACTCCTCTCCATCATAGGGCATATTCTTTAAAGCTCTCAGTAGCTTTCATTCTTATCCTTTGAAGGTCATGACGTTGTGGGGCTAAGCCTTTAACATATTGATATTGTCCCAGAAAAGTATCAGCTAGGTTGACCCATGTCTTGATTTGTTCTTTGTTCAAACCGTTATACCATACTATAGCTGGCCCAGCAAGACTATCATGGAAGTAATGAATCAACATATTGTCATTATTTAGGTACCCTTCCATCTTTCTACAAAACATCTTTAGATGAATTATGGGACAACTAGTGCCATCATATTTCTCAAAATTAGGCACCCTAAATTCATGTGGGATGACCAAATCAGAGACCAAACTGAGTTCTCTAGCTTCTAACTCCTTGTGAGGGGCATTAACAACCTTCATATCTTTAATGGCTTTATTCAACCACCTGAATTTGTCTTTAAATTGCTCATAATTGACGAGGCTCTTTCCTTGGTTTGAGTTAGATGCTTCAGGGTAGGTTATGATTCTCGACGTATTAGTCTGGTGAAACTGGTATCCTTTATCAACGATTTCCCCTCTATCAGCAGCCTTAGTTGCCAACACCTGGATCCTTTGGTTTGATACCCCTTGCAGAGAACCCGATGCTTGATTCCTTGTATCTTGTTGTAACCCGACTAATCGCTCTTGCAACTGATCTTGTGATTCCTTATGAGATTGCTCCATTGTTTCCATTTGTTTGTTCATGACGATGAGGAAGTAGAATGAATGAATGATTTTGTTATTACTGTCACATAATCTTCCATAAGTTATTTCCGTGTTTTTATAATTAATGCATGTAAAATGCTTAAATAAATACATACAATGCAAATGCAAATGCCAAATGCAAATGCAAATGCCAAATGCAAATACAAAAGGTGTCATTCCAGAGTGACCATCTTAAAACAACTTTCATTGAACACAAAGGTCTCGATACATCAAACAAACTTTACATATAATTGACAGCTTTCACTCCGACCTTTTCTATCTCCTTCAAAAGCCAATTTAATTTCCACTCATACTCGGGGGTCGAGTTGTCAATATGCTTCAATTCTCTTGCAAAGCCAGCTAAATCAACCCATTTTTGAGCCACATTGCTTGCTTGGGTCATAGTTTCTTTCATGACATTGTCTCTTTTCTCTATCTTGAGTGCCGATTCTCGGAGCTGTAGACACTGCTGTTGAATCTTCCTTGTAAGAAAGTCATTGTGGTTATGAAGCTCTTGTATAAGATCACTGCAATCATCCACCATCTTCATCAACTTCTCGTTCTTGGCTCTAACGGCTTCAAGCTCAGTGTCATTCTCCCGCTTATGGCGCTGATATGAGATTTCCATATTGGCAATGGATCTGTTCAACGTCTGAATTTCGGCTTGATATTTTCCCAAATTATCAACAACTATATTGCGTCTTCTTTCTGCAATATGTAAATCATGAGAAAACTTCTCGGCTCGACCCTCATGTACCTTACAATTCCTTCTCCACTGTTCAGCGTCATTCCTCAGTTTAGCGACTCCTGTTATCCACTCATCTAGTACATTTCCCATACCAGCAAATTTAAAAGCTTGATTGATCCTTTGAAAATCATCTCGCATGGCTTCCATCTCTCTGCTCAATTTATCATTTTCACTTCTTAAATGACGAATCAGAGCTTCGTATTTTGGCAAACAATTTTCTTCCTGGATTTCCTTATTGATACCCTTACCTTTGGTCACTGTTGGTTCAAACTCAACAGGATAATCTGTTTTCAAACTGGGTTGTCCTTTCAATTCAAACTCCAATACTCCATGATCTAGAAGAAGTTGGACTCGACGTTTGAAGGTAGAACAATTCTCAATAGAATGTCCTTGAACTCCAGCATGATATTCACAACGAACGTTGACGTCATACCAACTTAGATATGGAGGTTGCAAAGGTTTTACATAATGCGGTGCCACTTCTCGGGCTTCTAACAGTTCATCATACAATTCCTTATATGATATTGGGATGGAATCACAACGAGAGCCACCTCTTAACTTGGGTTGAATTAGAGTTTCCATTATTATTTCCCTTGATGTTGGAAGTAAACTATCAAACACCAACGAGTTCTGACTGCATGGCTTCTTTTCATCCTTCTGAACTTCTATAGTTGCCACTATTTCCTTGGCATTTCCAAACAACTTGTTGATACGAACAATGATTGTGCGTGATTTCTGATACTGACTAGAATCAACAGGTTCTAAAGTAGTCCATTGCGTATCTGACACCTCGAGATTGTTTTCATTGAGTTCTTTCTTTTCTTTTGTAGAAGTCTCTCTTCCTTTGGACAAAACATCTATTCTATCCATCATCTTGGACATTTGTTCTTTTATCTCTCTTATCTCATTGTGCTCTTTGTGTGCCATATGATCTTTATGCACACAACCCTCCACTATTCTCGAAGCTTTCACAGGATGCCACTTCTTGACTATGTTATAGCCTGCTTGATCACGAAACCCTTTGTCCGTCATGAAAACCTTTTACTATGATGACCACTCACAAATCAATACCTTTTGAATATGTCATGATCATGCAATGCAGACAAAGAGAAAAAAAACAATATAGAAACAAGTTAGTACAAATGAGATAACAAAATGACAAAAAGCAACATTAACAAAATAAATAAATTAATGCTAATATGAATGCAAATGCAAATGCACATGCACAAGGTATTAATCCTAAAAGTGACCACTATAGAACAACCTTCATTTAGACAACAAGAATTCAGTACACCATGTAGTCAAAATATAAATGTGATTCTTCATTTCTTCATTTCCTTGAGCTGTACTCTTCATGGAATCTAATATTGCACCCAAAGTTGTCGGCGTACTTTATCACCTTTGATGACAGCTCCTTAAATTGAATCTTGAGGTCTCTATTTTTACTTTCAATACGAAGTAGTCTCATGTCTTTGTGAAGGGTCTTCTTGTCCTTGGTGTAACTGTATCTATCTTCTGAGGGTATCTTGGCCTTCACTCTTTTAAAGGAAGTCTTCAATCAGCTTCAGATTTCTTCATTCATCGGATGTCCTTCTTCATGGATCATCTGAATATCTTTGAACCTCCTGATTTTGACTACATGGTTAAGAATTTCTTGTTTCAGTATGACCAGCCTTCTTATTAGTCAATCACTTGCAAATTAACACCTTGTGATGACATGAAGATGCGAATGCAATAAAATCAAAATAAAATAGACATAGAAAAAAATGGGTTATTACACATAATATCAACAACAAGATAATAAATATCATAATCATTAAATAAAACCTACCCTTACATGTTGGCAACCCAATCATGTTTTAGTAGATCCTACCCAACATGATATCTACCCCCATGCTTTGTTTGAACATTAAAACCCTAACCGCATAATATCTAATTCACATGCTTGCTTGAAAAATAAACCTAACCGCATGATTTCTATTTCGCATGTATTTATTCGAAAAGTGAAAATAAATGACTCAAAAAGCTTTTCCTTGTGTACCCTTCTCACGAGACTCTTAAGGTTCGGGTTAGGCTCGACCTAAGTTCGGGCTCTATGTTCACTATATGCTGGGTTCGGTTCTAAAGTAATAGGTTCTCGAATTGTCCTTGTCGGTGCCCCCTTGGACTGTCGAACCCTCAATCCTGGCCCATCACAGGCTTTAGGGGATCGAGTTCAATTTCGAGGGAACACACCTCCTTATGTCCATGCGGAGGTGATTACCATCACGAGGACCATTGTAACATCCTCAATACCGGGTTAGTGACCAAATTATAAAGTTTCAGAATTTGGTGACTAAAGTAGAAGAATGAAAGAATTCAATGATTTTTTTTTTGGAATATATGATGAAGGTTAATTAGTAATTATTAAAGGAAATTAAGGGTTAAATGGTCATTTGATCAGAAAGTTTTTATATTCCTTTTTAAGGGTAATATAAACGTGGGATATGTGAGAACCATCCAGAGTTCTCTGCTCCTTTCTTCTTCTTCATACGTGGGAGAGCAAGGTAAAGGTAAGTTTAATTTTAGTTGGTTAATTCTGGAGTTTTAAGCTTAGTTTTGATTCTTTGGGTATTAAATAAGCTTAAGGAAATCTTATATGGGATTTAAACAATAAGATAAAGGAATTATGAAGGAATTTGCAATATGAGTTTTAAGATGAAATTTTGATATGGTATGGTTGTTGAAGTTTTATGGATGAATTTGACTTGTCATCAATCTAATTAAGAAGTATGAAGTGTTAGAATTGGAATTAGAACACATTGAAAATTTGGTATGATTTTTGAATCTCATATGGAATATAGGATTTTGAGGTTTAAGATGAAATAAATGAATATAAATTGGTTTAAGTATGTGTACTAGAGTTAAGAATGAAAAAGAGGATGATATATGAAGTGTTTGAGAGAAAATGAAGTAATTTTCGGGCTGAAATATGATTTCTGGGCAAGGGGAATCGGTACCCATTCAAGGGGAACCGATACCCCTTCAAACGACAGAATTCCAGAATGTCTTGAGGGAATCGATACCCCCATAGTAGGGAACCGATTCCCCTTAAAGGAAAAATGGGAATATTGGTTTAATAAGTTCGTTTAAGTTGCTAGTATCTAATTAAAAGGTGTAGGTATCTAATGATTACCTCGAAATGTACATTTATGTAGATTCTACGCATAAAGAAATTCCAGAACTTTCGGCAAGTAAGATCGATCAAGGGAAAGATAAGAGATTGGAATTGACTAGTGAGGCCAGGTGAGTGCATATTCAATAGTATATGATGTGCAATGGGAATAAGACTTGCGATGAGTCTATTTCCTGAAGTGTTACACATGAATGCATGATTAAAGGCATGAGTTGAATATGCATGTATGTATGCTTGAGTATATGGATTGATTTGTTCTTTTATGTGTTAGATGATAAAGTATAAGTAATTACATAAGAAAGGTTATGAATTATATGAGATATAAACTATGTGATCATAGTAAAATATAATTATTACTATATGATAAGTGAAATAAGATGGATAATATTGATCTATAGGATGAAGTGAGAATAGTACACTAACTAGGAGATTTGAACATAAATGATAAGATGAACATATAAGATAAGCTAGATGGGTAGGATTCATATGTTTAAATAAAACTAT